ACGAATTCGACTTCGGGGAGAAGTACTCGGCACGAATTCCTGGCTGATTTAAATCTGGTAAGATAATCCATTGGTGACTCGTCGAATGCCTGAGCCATCCTTGCTAGCGAGGATACTGACATTTCCATCCCCGGCCGATAAAACTGCTCATGAAATTTCTCGACCAACTCCTCCCAGCTCTGGACGGAATTCGGTGGGAGGTTGATATACCAAGCAAACGCTAAACCGGTCAGTGAAAAATTGAAAAGGCGCAACTTGTGAAAGTCGCTATTGATGTCTCGGCATTGCGCGGTGAAACCAGCTACATGTTCTAACGAGGATAAGGATGATTCTCCGGCAAAAAGGCTAAAATTCGGGATTTTGAAACCTCTAGGGTATTCGAACTGTTCCACATAAGCTGGATACAGATGTATACACTTAGGGAACTTCGGCCCTTTCTTCATGGCCGAATCGATCATCCGTTGGACCTCGGTCATATCGACGGGTGTTGCTTCCACTCTCTGGTCGGATCCGTCTGACCTACTATTTGATCCTCCTCCTCTCTCCAAGTTAATTGGTTTGAGCCGAGCAGGGATTGACTCGGCCGGTGCACTTGGTAATAGATTATTTCTCGGTGGCAAATGCTGGGCAAGATCGAAAGTCCTACCGTCACTGACCTTACTAACCAGTATTTCGAGTAATCTAGTTTGTGCCTCACTGGTATTGCGTATCACGTCATGAAGTTTGTCGATTCCTCGACTAAACATCTGTTCAACAGTCCGAGATTGCTCGTCAAGCTGTTTTCGAAGAAACGACCTTGTTGGTGGATCAGATCCTTCGCCACCATCCTCGTCACAATCCTCTATTATCCCTTCATTGAGAACGCAGGTGTTCCTGTCGGGGATTTCAAGACTGCGAAACTAACCACCGAGATTAACTTCCCTTTCTCAGCGAGTCGCGCTCATGGACTCAGGTGTTACGGCGCTGATGGGATTCTGCGCCTGTGGCACACTGTGTCCTATATTTTGAATTGGTAAATCGGCTGTTGATTTTCCTATAGCTGTTTTCTTTTTTACCGATTGTGTTTCAATTGGCATGAACGTCGTAGTTTAGCACTGGGTTCCACTGGGCGTGCCAAAATGTTGACCCTAAAAACTACCAAACCTACGTGGCGCGCAGGCCGAGTAATCTATAAGCTAACTACATCCTTCGGTGAATGCGGGGCGTGCCAACTAGTCGGCCGAGCTCGGCCGAGGAGTAAATTTGTTGATGTTGCGTTGGGAGCGCGACTGACTTCTGCGTCTTGCGATTGTAACCAAGGAAGGAACACGTCTCGGCCTCTTGGGTTCTCGAACCTGAAGACAAGGCTACTATTCTTACAAAGTTCACGAATCACCGTCATCGGATTCTGTCACAGTGATGTTATTCGTCAGAGTAAACTCACACCGAATCGACACCAAAGTGTAAAGGCACAAATACTCAAAGAGAATATAAGTCTTGATAGTAAACGTGGTTCGGCCGTCTGAATGACAAACTCTAAATCCCACTTGAGAGTATCCAATCATAAAATCACTCGGCGTGCAATGCGCCGAGTTCAGTAAACTGTAACACCTCACTTCACCGAGAAGGCTAATGAGATGACCTCAGTCAATAAGGATTCGGAAATCTTTCTCGACCGAGACTTGGATAGGTAACCAATCATCCTCGCCGTAGTGCTGTTGATGCTAATGGAAGATGCTGCGAGACCGACTGATTCTATGGCAACAGAGCTATCTATGCCGACTTAAGATGTCACCGGTTGCTTTCACAGTGTTGTTGATGCCAACGGAAGATGTGTCAGCGAAAAGAGAAAATAAAAATCTCGAAGTTGTTGAAAGAGTTTGCGCAGGACAGTTATGTGTTCAATTGGAGAGACTTGAATGATGCACAGCCTCCTCTATTTATAGCACCGGATACCTTCAAGGTTGAGTTAAAACCCTACCCGGATTAGGACTCTTTCTCCTGATCAAACAGCAACCCGACCAGTCCTACTTTCACCATAATTGTGAACCTATTCCTTTATTGAGCCGGATTCACTTCTGGGTTATTAATCTTGCCGAGACTCCTCATTGCACCAGGATTCGACTCGTCTTACGGCATGGCATAACCGACCCGGATTTGGATGCCCAAGACCTAACTGGTCCAGAACTAACCGATCCCTGAGAACCGAACCCTATCGTAAGGCTTTCTGGGCCGAGAATAATTCTATACTCAGCCCAAACTAATATTTTGGGCCCAAACAGTAGTATTCACCGAAGTGATGGCCGAGAATTGATGGTAGACCGAGCTACCGAGAATCAAGTTTTTCTCGATCTTGTTTTCTATAGCCGATTTGACCAAGTGGAGTGGATGGTCTGAAGGTGCTGCTTCACCATGATCTTGGTGCTGATGGTGTTTTAGGTCAGCTAAATAGCTGACCGTGGTTCCAACAAGGGCAATAAGTGGTGTTCAATGGTGAAGTGGTACCCATCAATTTCACAAGTTTTTGAGGTAGAGTCTCGGCCGATGATCTTTTCATCAGCATTTGGTCCACTCTGTGGCATTTGTCAGGAAAAGAAAAAATTCGGTGGAATCATATTTTTTATAGCCAAAAGAGATGGCATGCAAAAGATTATATGATTTTAGTTTAAAAGGAGATAAGGGCAAGTTCATGATATAAATGAAAAGCCACTTATTTCAAGTGGTAGGCTTTCACGTGGGATATCCTTCTTTGGTCAAGCAGTCATTAGTTGGAGTTTGTCGAGGATCTTAAACTCGAATGTTGTCTTACAATCAAGGCCGAGGGACGAAAAGCCACCACCGAAGAGGTTCGGTCGAAGTAATGCTCAGCAATGAAAAGGCCAATAGCTATTTAGCAATTGATTGGTTGGCCATTTAAAAATGAGTTAGTGGTGCATTTGTGAGATATATATATATATATATATATATATATATATATATATATGTCTCTAAGATTTCGGGGATCTGTGCAAAATTCATAAAAGGGGCCCTTCTTATAAGACATTTTAAAAAAACAAATTGAACAATGTATTTATGCTAAAAAGCAATATCGAAATAAACTTTAAAACTAACTAACCATTTGTTTCTAAATATTATTAAATGTAAAGAAAGTTACAAAATAATCATAGTACTAATAACTAACAATAAGTTCAATCTAAAGAAACCAAATAAACAAAACTTAAAAAAGTCTAGCACTGAAGCTTCACTTAAAAATGGCTCTTCGTGCATTCTTTGCTGCAAAATCATCAATTAAATCTTCATAATCAATTTTGCCTAAAAAATCACTTTTAATCGATATCAAAGCTAGTCCATTTAGCCTTTCCTGCAACATGGTTGACCACAAGTATGATTTTAATAACTTTAACTTTGAGAAACTCCTTTCTGCATATGCAATGGTAACAGGTATAGTCAATAAAATTTTGTATGCAATGCTTGCAGTCGGGAAACAATGCATCGTCTTCAAGTAGTTCAATATGTCAATGGATGTCTTTATTTCTTTTGGCAAACACTCTCGCAAAAGCTTCAATTCTACTAATAATGCATCCCCATCAAAATCAAAGAGCTCATCTTTCTTGAGAAAGTTTTGAAGCCGATCACAACAATCTTTTAATTTATCATTGTCTATTGAATTCAATTGTTCTGAAGTGAACAAAAACCCAAATATGTCATCATACGCTTGATATTTTTCAAACCTTCTCTTCAGTGAACCAATAGCTTGATCTATTATATACAAGAAGTAATGAACCCTAAAAGATTCCTCTGCTGATTGTTCAGCTAGTTGGGATGATTCACCTTCATTCTCATCAAAAAAAATTTTCTACGAACTTGACGTTTTTCTGGAAACACAGGATCAATTTCCATTTCAATAGAAAGTTTTTTAGCATTAATCATAGCCTCCGCAAATCCAGTTTCTCTGTACTTTTCAAAATAAGCGATTAATCCTTGTATTTGTTCTATAGCAACATCAATAAGCATGTCTTTAGATTGCAAATCTTTGCTAACCTCATTAACAACAGCCAATATTTCATACAAAATAATCATGCCCAATAAAAACTCAAAATTCCCAATGTCATATGTTGCCAAAGATTTAGCTACACTTCTTGTTACTAAGTCATTGTCACTTTTTGCTAATTGGAGTAAGGCTTTTTTTATTTGTAGAGGTTGGGATTGAATTGCTTTAACACTTACAACACGGCTTTCCCATCGTGTGGCCGACAATGATTTGAGAGTCGGTCCTTGTATATTTTCTTTCAAAACCAGCCATCGTTTTGTAGAATTTGCGAACAAGCTGTAAATACGTTGTACTGTTCCAAAGAAGTCTTTCGCTTTGTCACAAGAGTTTGCCATATCACAAAGCGTTAAGTTAAGACTATGGCAACCACATGGAGTGTACATTGCCCTAGGATTTATATCCAAAAGCCTTTTTTGTACACCTTGGTGTCTCCCTCTCATATTTGATCCATTATCATAACCTTGCCCTCTTACATCATCAATATCAAGATCAAGAACTTTTAATGCATTATGCAACTCTTCAAACAGTCATTCTCTTGATGTGTTATTCATAATCAAATATTGCAAAAAATATTCTTCTACTTTTACTGGAGTACTATTCATATCCACACATCTTATGATCAAGGTCATCTGTTCTTGGTGGCTAAAATCAGGAGTACAATCAAGTATCTCGGTAAATATTTAGCTTCTTTGACTTTTTTAATGATTGTAGCTTTGATTTCACAAGATATCAACAATATTAACTCATTCTGGATGGTATGACTAAGATAATGATAACGAATCTCATTATTTTGGAAGCGTTGAAGATGATTCTTTATCAATGGATCAGATTCAGCCATCATTTGAACTAGGCCCATAAAATTTCCTTTACTTTCTTGATAGAGCGTATCGTTACTTCCACGAAAAGTCAGTGTGTGTTTAGCTAAATATTTCACAATGGAAATCAACCTTCGTAATAACTCCCTCCAATGCTATTTTTCTTTCTTGATCTGGTCTTGCACAACTTTGTCAATTGTTTCATTTTTCTGCAATCTACGACGTAAATCAATCCAAGTGGTCATGTTCAAGATGTGATCAAAACTGTTTTCATGCTCTTTAAGCCTCACATTGAGATGTGTCCAATCTTTGTAGCCCTCATTTGCTAATTGACCTTTGAGAGGCCCTTTCTTGAACAATTTACAACAAAAGCAGAACACTTTATCAACATCCTTTGAATAGACTAGCCAATCTCTATCATGTTTCTCTCCATTGGATAAGTATCGAGTGTAAAAGGCTACATTAAAACACCTATTAAACTGATCTTTAGGACCTTTCTCAATTGATAGATCTCTTGCATGACCTTTTTTTGCCAATAAATCAATCCATTTGGGATCAAGACTATCCCAAATTTGAGGATCATATATGTTTGAAGGAATGGACTCACTCAGTTGATCAGTGACAATAGGAGCATCCTCATGATTATCATTCTCATCAAGGTCATCATCAATTTCATCATTACCTAAATCATCAACTAATTTCTCATTGTCATCCTGTTGTTCTATAATTAAATATCAACTGAACTTTGTGGTTCTTTTTTTCCAAAAAGAACCTATCAATAGCTCCTTTTTGAGATTGAATCAATTGTTCAACTTTTCTTTTTCTTTGACGTTTCAAGTAGCCAAATGGATATTTTCTAGTAGGTGCCATCTTTTATATCTCAAACAAAATCACAATAAAATTATAGTAAGTGTGAACAGTGAAACCTGATAGTCCGTAATACGTGTGCGTCTAGCAATTTTTTGTGACTGCTCTTCTTTTGATTTTGTCCTGAAAAGTACAAAAGAAAAAAAAATCATTATAGATGAGAAATACCAAAATATTCAAATTTCGAGTCAATATACTTAAATTAGTAAATATCTTATTTTGTTCGAAGTCTACATCACTATGATTGGTTGAATTGTCTTCATGATTTGGAAGTCTCTTTAATTTCATAAATTTATATATTAGGGTTTAATAATTTGTGGGAAATATAATGGGACGAAGAGAGAAGGGAATTACACTGGGAGTCTGGGACGCTCACAATGGCACAGCGTTATGGTGCTCTGCACTGAATTGTTTACCTCTGTAGTGACGGTAGTCTGGTGTGAAAAGAAGAAAAGTGGAATGCAGCGATGAGATTTTGTCGTGAGAGAAGTAGTCTATCTCTGAATACTAAATTGTTTGCCTCAGCAGTGGGGTTCTCCACTTTAATTGATTAACTTTTCCCTTTGTTAACTATTATTTTATATATTTTCGTACTAGTAGTAGTAGCCTGATGGCTTTTAACCTTTTACCCTTTTAGGTAGTAGTCTGAGTCTGACTCTGATGGTTTTTAGGTAGTAGACTAGTAGTCTGATGGCTTTTGGGCCCATCAGATTTTTATACGTATATATTTTGATTTGATTAGTATTTCTATATATTATTTTTATATAATGTTATTTTTTTATATTATTATATTCAATAAAAAATATTTTTGGGGGCCCCCAAAATTTTGGGGCCCTGTGCCATGGAACCGGTCGCACTCCCCCAAAGCCGGCCCTAATATATATATATATCAACATCTTTGCACTATGTCAAATAGAGGTCGTTCGGTGGAAAAGAATTAGGCTAAGATTGTATGGCCTCGATTTTTACAAAGCCATTGTTGTCTGCTATATATCAACATCTTTGCACTCTGTCGAATAGAGGTCGTTCGGTGGAAAAGAATTAGGCCAAGATTGAATGGCCTCGATTTTTACAAAGCCATTGTTGTCTGCATTGGTTCAAGATTTTTAAGCCAAGTGCAGATGCTTTCCTAAGCTTGGTTGCGCTATGAGCTGAGTTCAGTGGTATTAACCCATTCAGCAGCATCAATGTTAATCTCTATGCTTGCTGTGGAGAGCGTTGAATTCGAAATTTTTCTCAACCGTCAACTCTAATCCAGGGCTTTGATTCGAGGAGTTAATTCGATGGTTTCTTTGGTTCGAAGAATCATTTCGACCGACACCATATCATGTTCGACGGCCTGGACACCATTTCACCCATGTGAGCATGGTAGGGATATTTGGTAAAAGACAGGGTTTATCCAAATTTCGTCAACAACATCAAATGTCGCTTTTGGGATACTGCACCAAATATTTTGGTTCATGAAGAGGCCAAGTATGCTTTTCGCCAAATCAATATGTATTCGGTGGAGTTATTTGGTAATTACGAACGTTCAGATGAAAGTATAAATTTCCTCAACTATTCGGCTTAAGGGCCGAAACTCAAGGAAATTGAGGGGTTGTGTTTGGAGCCAAAATTGCACCATCGGCCTCTGCAATCAAGGCCATTGAGTGAGCATAGCTCCCAACCATCGCATGGAAAAGTGAAGATAATTTTGTTATTATTGAAGAATAATATTATGGTTTTTATCATAATAATTATCTTTTAATATGATTCATCTTGACATTTTCTTATACGGGATAAATGGGATTCAAATTATCTCCAATCTGGAAGCAATAACAAAGTTCAAGTTAACTTCGGACACGTAGATTGGAACATCTTGGAGTAGGAGATCGGCACAATGATATTAAAGATGGGATTGCATTTGCATGCAGCGTGAGGCCATGGAGGCTTCTATTTGGAGATTAATGTCATGCAATTAAGAGTCTAATTTGAAGAAATTAGCAATGTGAATGGTGTTTGATTAATGTCGTGCATGTCCCTGATGTGGTATTGGCTTAGTGATAACAACTGGATGATTGGAGATAAAGTGGAAGAGCATCAGGTTACTGCAAATAAACACATGGCCCCAGTTTGCAAGAGATGATTATCTGAAGTTGAGCTTTGGATTAATAAAAGGGATCATAATGAGATAAAGATAGGTTTTAGCCATGTTGGAAAAGTCAAATGACTAAAACATAGGCTTTAGCCTGCAGAACGTAAATCACTTAATGAGTTTGAATGCAATTGTATTCTACAACGAGTATCAGCCGCCAAGCAAGTACAGCAGCTCTATAAATACAAAACGGCGGGCAATTGAGAAAGCCTCTTCAAATCAACACACAAATTGCCCTGCCTAAAGCTTCTTAATAACTTTAAGATTTTTCCCTTCCCTTTCTTCCCACCAACACATCTTCAGTTTGGATAAACAGCACTGTGAAGGTAACCAGCGACATCTTCAATTTGGATAAACAGCACTGGAGTCGTAGAATCAGTTGACCGATGAACACCTTCAATTTAGATAAACAACATTACTTGAAGACCGACTGGTTATTATCCAAGTCTCGATCGACAAGGATTTTCGAGTCCTTATTGGAAAAGGTCATCTCATCAGCTTTCTCGGCGAAGTGAGGTGTTACCAGGTTACTACATTCGACACACTGAAAGCCGAATTTGATATTAAACTTCACAGAACTAGCAGCCTTGTCTTCAGGCTTTAGAACCCGAAGGCGAGAAGTGTTCCTTCCTCGGCTGCAGTCACGAGATCAAGAAGTCAACAGCGTCCCCAACACCACATCAACATATTTTACTCCCCAGCCAAACTCAGCCAACGAGTTGGCACGCCCCGCAAACAACTGAATGAAGTAGTTAACTTATTAATTACTTGGCATGCGCGCTACATAAGCTAGGCAGTCTTTAGGGTCAACAGTTACATAATTCGTACACATGGATGTGACTCATCAAAATTGGACGAGTCATCAAGAAGGACAAGTGTCAACACTTGGCAGAAGGGAATTATTTGATTTTAATTTAATTAAATAAAATGTTAATTGATGGAGTCAAATCCCGAACCGGCCCACAAATCGAGTCTTGGTTATTTGGTCAATTAATCAAGCCCACAATTAAGGTTAAATCCATCCGTAGGCAAGACTTGAAGAGTCCATAAATAGGAAGCTCCAAGACAAAAGAAAGGAGCCAAAAATCATTCAAGCACCCAGACGCTGTCAAAGCTCAAGTATCCAAATCCCCAAAACACTTAGAAGAATTCAGAAAGTTCTATGTATTCTTCACCAAACCTTCGAAGAATCATTAAGCACTACTACCCGTGCTGATCCTTCAAATTACCAAGAGCCAAACCTCACAGCAACCATTCATCCAAGATCAAGTCACCGTGACCCTTGGATCAACAACCTACACAACCACACATCTTTTGGAAATCGAATCAAAGGAAACTTATAAACAGAGATTGTAACCCTACAAATTCATTAATACAAATTTATTTTGTACACGTGTTCTTATTTCATTTGTCACAGGAAATTCATGTTTACATTAATGTCATGAAAAAAACTTGGGAAGGATTGTTATGATATAATTTTATCCTAGAGTCCAATTGGATGAAAGGCATTACAATTTTCCGAGGGCCCAAAAAAACGGTCGTAAAAAGCACATTTTGCAACCATAAAATATAGGTTGTCGGTAACATGGCATGAAACAAATTTTTATTACCCATGCACATAATGTCCTTGGAAAAAGTCTCAAGTTTCGTCAGAAATGCACTTTTGTTTGGTGGGAAGAATTGGCGCCAGTTATATTAATGATGAGTAAAGTTCTTATCGGAAATAGAATGTTTATTTCCGAAGGTTTAGTTATGTTGACAAAATTGATTTAGTATTTTCGAGGGAAAAAATGACCTCTCGGTAATGTTTTTATATTTTTGAGGGAAAAAAAGTCCCCTTGGTAATGCTTTTATATTTTCAAGGGTGCTTAGTTGTTGTTGGAAGTAATCATACTTTTCCGACAAATTTTTTTTCATTGTCAGAGTAAATTTTTAAGGCATATTGTTTTGTTGGAATCAATTATTTACCAATGGTCACATGTGTCATTGGAATATTCTTGAAATAAGTTTGATGCTTAATTTAAATTCTACAATAAATAGATCATATAACTTAGAATACATATGGAGAAGATTGGACCATAAAATTAAAATAAAACCGTTAAGCAAAAAGGTGAACTTAACATAGTATTTTATGATAAAGAAATAATTTGCAAGCCTTTGTTAACCCATAACATTTGTCCTGGACATTGAACAAAGTATAACCACATCACTTCCACAACTAAATTGTTAGTTTTCGTTTATAATCGTCGAAAGGTTTCATCCTGTTACATAATATCTGAATGTCTGTTTTTTGCGATTTTTTATGTATGCGATCTTGGAGTATATACAAACAAGTTTGATGGTTGGATTGTTGAAACTAGTTTTGTAGAATGTGTAACCCTTCAAAACAATAGATTCAACAAACACTTGGAGTTTATTTTATACTTCCATTAAGTAGAACATAATAATTTGTAGTATCCACTAGTTCAAATATTTTAAATTGAAGATTAAATTCATTCATCGTACTCTTATAGAGTTGAGGAGTATATTTGTAAAAAAATCATCATAATCGGAGTTAAAATAATTGTTAAATTGTGAGTTTTCATTTATAACCGTCAAAAGGTTTCGTCCCGTTACCTAATATCTGAATGTCCGTTTTTTGCGATTTTTTACGTATGAAATCTTGGAGTATATACAAACAAGTTTGACGGTTGGATCGTTGAAACTAGTTTTGTAGAATGTATATCCCTTCAAAACAATAGATTCAACAAACACTTGGAGTTTATTATGTACTTCCATTAAGTAGAACATAATAATTTGTGGTATCCACTAGTGCAAATATTTTAAGTTGAAGATCAAATTCGTTCATCGTACTCTTATAGGGTTGAGGAGTGTATTTGTAAAAAACATCATCAAAATCGAAGTTAAAATAACCGTTAAATCGTGAATTTTCATTTATAACCGTCGAAAGGTTTCATCGCGTTACCTAATATTTGAATGTCCGTTTTTTGCAATTTTTTATGTATGCGATCTTGGAACATATACAAACAAGTTTGATTGTTGGATCGTTGAAACTAGTTTTGTAGAATATGTATTCCTTCAAAACGATAGATTCAACAAACACTTAGAGTTTATTTTATACTTCCATTAAGTAGAACAGAATATTTTGTGGTATCCGAATGTCTTTTTTTTTAGTTTTCGTTTGTATATTTTTTTTGTACTTCTACATTAATTAAAAAACTATTAAAATCTTAAATACAATAATAGCCATAAGATTTAATCTTACATATGTGAGATTAAATCCTTACCATTGAATTTAATCTAGCAATTAAATCATAAAAGTGTTTTTGGTGGGCTGCCAAAATTTTAGCATGGCATCCAAAAACTAAACTGTATTTCCAAAGAGAACGTCATTTAGCGCTTTCTCCTCCTTTTCATTTCTCTCTCACAAACTTCTCTACTTTTCCTCTTTCATAAACAAAACCCTAACCTACATCCTTCATTTCTCAAAATCTCTCACAGCTTTTCTCTCTCCATCGCTTTGTCGCAATCCATGGCCTCCTCTCCATGTCGCTTGCTGCCCACCACCGAAATTCAAGAACCCAAGATATCCATTCCAACAAAACTTAAATCCACACCTAATCCTCATCTCCCAGACTCACGAGACTACCGTTTTTCGGCCAATGTTCTAAGGTTGAATGTTTTTCATATTTTTATCTTTTTCTTTATAAATTTGGTTTTGAATTTGCAGGTACTTGCCTCTAACAACCAACCACCTGCACATCCTGACTCCGCAACCTATAATTTGTCGCAGTAATGTTTTTCTTGTTCAAAAACTACCCATATGCTTATTCTCTCTTATGA